ACTTTAGCTGCAGTGCAGCAGAACTGTAAATGCAGATTGCTGAAACAGGCATAAACCTCACCAGTTTCTAGAGAGTCAAAATTTTAAAAAAAACACTTGCAAACCCAAAGAGGTTTTGGACTTCCATCAATCAACTTGCATTTCATACATCATTGGCACAACTGCAATTGCATTTCAAGAGAGTTCAAGTAAATGTCATTTTGTCTCACTGACACTGTCTTAAAACACTTGTAGCACAAGGATTAAGCTTGTGTCTTGGACTGTGAAAAACTATAAACATAATTTGAAAAAAGAAATAATCCTGGAAAATGTGTGTATCTTAGTCTTTGATGACAGTATTACATTTATTACTTTAATGAAAATGGCACTGCAACATTGGGGATCTCTTGCTTTAGGACAGCCTAGAGGAAAAGGAATGCAGGGAGTGGTATGCAACAGGGGGTTCATAAAGAAATGTGCCACTCAAGCAAAATCAAGATTTATCTTTAGTACATTCACACATTGTAACTCGATTCTCAACCCCTCTCTGGCTCCTTGCAAGAAACAGACAAGTGCAATGCACTACCAATTTTGCACCTTCTCTGGTCTTTACAGAGGATTTGCTGAAGGTGCAGGAGCATGGCACACATCATCCACTCTTCTGGCGATAGCGTTAACTTGCAGCAGTTTTGAGGTCCTCCACACCAACTTCCCAAACTGCTTTGATATAAACTGACTTAAAACCACAGCAGAAGGAAACTGATATTCTCCCCTCTCATCTCAGCTGCACCAAGTGCAGCAAGGATTGAGCTCTTGAGGAATATAAGATGTTGGCACATCTGTAAAGGTTTGTATAGTATCACATAGATTTGAAGAAGCAGAAAAAAATGTTTTATAACTAGAAACACTTTCATATGGATTAATAGTTTTACACCATCACAGCAAAATATTAATGGTGGGACTAGACACTGAGCAAAGGAAGTGGTGTTTTTTAAAAATTAGTCTGGTGAATCTTTACTTTTCAAACCACTGTATTAATTAATAATTTAGTGGTGAACAAAAGACATAAATTTCACAACAATAAAAATACACAAGGAGAAATATAGCAGAAAACAGAAATGGGAAGCAAGTAAATGGAGAAAATGTGCAATTTAGGAGGCTTCAATTGTAACAGACAAGTACAATGTAATAGGCATAAAGAAAGCCATCAGTGGAGTGAGTAGGTTGTGTCCATGTCAAAAACAGAAACATAAGAAAAGATATTTAAATTATACCTGTTCTGACTGAAACAGAAGCTGGTAATATGGATTGATAACCATGTAGGGAACATTTTAGAATGTGTATTACCAGAACTGATCCCCTTATTGCAATCTATTCAACTAGAATACCCCTTCATGCTCCTTATTCCCTTAGTCTAGTAAGGTGCAATGCATTTAATTCTTTGGTTACTATCTTTGGCACTGTCTGATATTCCTTTGATTGCTATGCTTGCTCCATAACTCATGGAGTGTAAAATAAAATCTTTCATTCACAAGCACATTTTCTCAGTCCATCTGCAGCTGCAGTGAAATTCACAAGCCTATGCATACACAGCCACAAACTTCTTTTTTACTAATTACAGTCTTCCCAAGGTGTTGCCTTTCTTACAAAGCTGCATGCAGTCTGAGTAGCTTTGCCTGAACTCTTTAGATCCCTTAAGAACACAAGCCTGTTTTCTTTTTTTAGGTCAGATTCTAACAGAAACCGACAGGAATTTGGCCTCAATAGCTTCCACAGGATCAAGGTCTGGTTCAGTAAAGGATTAAGGCTATTGTTGCTGAGCCCACACTACCTGTAAGAGACCTTTCCTTTTCCCTAACCTCTATTCTTTGACTCAGCCTCACACAGCACTATCTAAATAGAACATAGGTTACCACGTAAATGCTTTTCCTTGGATGCAAACATGTCACATTTATTAAAATGTTTATATTATATATTATTTTAATATTTATATTTTATATTAAAAAGTGTGAATTTTGGGTAGGCTTTTCTCAGCTTTTAGAAAATAATGTGATTCAACAAAATGCATTTCTTTGTAGGTACACAGTTTATGCTACTTGGGAGTGGGGCTGCTGCCGAGCCTCATCCCCAGTGGGCTGCAGCTGTGAAAAGCAGGTGAGCAGCATTGACAGCAATGAGCCATGGAGTGCCAAGTGCACTCACCAATCACCAAAGGGAACAGAGGGCACACAGGTGCAATGCATGAAGATGAGGAGTATAAAAGGTTGGGCTAAAGAACAAGAAGGGCAGAGACTCTTGCTGTGATTTATGCTATATGGGTGGACACCTGAAGATGTCTGATGTGGTATGGTGTTACTCTCTATGGGTGAATGTTAAAGCCTTCTGAAATTGTATGGTGATACTCTGTGTATTGTGGCTGTCTTGACAGCAACATTTCTTGTGGTATTCCTGATTATACTTAGAATTTAGTATTTTTAGAGTTGCCATATCTTATGTTTTCTGATTCTTGTGATTTCCATGGGTTTGAAAATCAAAAATAGCAGCCAAACAGTAGCTTTAGTTTTAACAAGCCCTTGGGTAGACAGTTTGCATCTTGAAGCATTTAGTTTTACATTTAGGTGCAATGAGTACCTGGACACACAGTCCTTCTTCCTATCTAAATGCCATTCCAGCCTAAATGATATGTGGATTACTGTTCCCCAACCTTCTTTATTAAAATATTAATATGGCAGTCTTCTCATTTGACAACAGCAGGTGGCACAGGCTTCCTCCCTGCACCTCACCTACAGGAGCAGCTTAGCCTTGGGATACTCTGACCCTCTGCAGTTACATTGGGGTCCTGCCGAGGTCCATCTTCACCTATGGGTGACCATCTCTGCAGCCACTCAAGCATGGCTGGGCAATGCACAGAAGCATGAGGCACATGTCTGACTGTCAAGCCACCTAAATTTTCAGGCAAAAAATGAGTTGCAGTTTCCATGAGCTGCAGAATATGTTTCTGGAAAGGCTAGCAACTGTTCATACCTCCTACTGAATCCACTGTCTGGCCTCATTGGTGGGAACAAGGGCAACTGCAACCTGCTTTCACTTTAATCAAACATCACAGAGCTGTGCAAGTTTATCTCCCCCAGCACTGCCATCAGGCACTTGAACAATCAATCCCAAGGAAGTGTGCCTGCCTACTTTTTCTGGCCAGAAAGCTCCAGGTAATAAACACACTGAGGCTCCCACCATTTCCACACCTTTCATCTCTGATGTATTTGGTTTGTGAGGCAAGGTTTTGGTAGTGACAGGGGCCTGGGGAGGGGGCTACAGTGAGAAGCTCCCAGCAGGCTCCCCATGTCTGACAGAGCCAAAGCCAGACAGCTCCAAGATGGGTCCACTTCTGACCAAGGCTCAGCCTATCAGAGACAGGGACAGTGCCTGTGGGATAACAGATTAAAGAAGGGAAAAAATTTGCACAAAAATTTAAGATGAAGAGTGGAATGGGAGTGAGAGTAACAACTCTGTAGAGCCCAACACCAAAGGAGGAGGAGGAGGAGCTGCTCCAGACGCTGGACCAGAGCATGCAGCCCTGGTGCAGACCATGGTGAGGCAGCTGTGCCCCCGCAGCACAGGGAGGTCCATGGGGAAGCACAGATCCACCACAGCCCATGGAGGACCCCAGGGCAGAGCAGGTGGGTGCCCAAAGGAGGCTGTGACCCTGTGGGAAGCCTGTGCTGGAGCAGGCTCCTGTAAGGATCTGTGGCCCCATGGAGAGAGGAGCCCACACCAGAGCAGGTTTGCTGGCAGGACTTGTGACCCTGCGGGGGCACCCGCTGGAGCATCTGGTCCTGAAGGATTGCGTCCCAAAAATCAAGACTGGGAAGCCAAGAATCGGCTGGGAAAGAAAGGCAGGCAAGGATAGTGTTTTTAGACTTGGGTTTGTCATGATCCTGCTCTGACTGGCATTAAATTAATTTCCTCACGTGAAGATTCTTTTGCCCACGACGGCAATTCTTGAGTGATCTCGTCCTGTCCTGATCCCCGAGCCTCTCGTGAAAGCGCCCCACCCCTGCCAAGCTGCGGAGGGCACTGCCAGGGCGGCTTTAGAGGGCACCTAAAGCCACGCTCAGCCCGCCACAAGGCGGCACGACCTGGGCAGGGGGTCTGGGA